CCTGCTGGCAGTGATAGCATGCCCCACGCACCGCACCACGGAAGCCACCAGCCGAGCGAGTAGGGCAGTCGCGGCTGAGATGACCTGGCTGACCACAGTTGTAGCACGCACGGTCGCCACCAGCACCACCTGGCAGCCGTGTGGGGCATTCGCGGCTAAGGTGGCCAGTCTGACCACAGTTGTAGCACGCACGGTCGCCACCAGCACCACCTGGCGGACGTGTGGGGCATTCGCGGCTAAGGTGGCCTGGCTGCCCACAGTTGTAGCACGCGCGGTCGCCTCTTGTCATTCCATTATCGGCCATGGCTGTAGGAGTCTTCGGGAGAGTCGTTCGGTGGATCACGTTCTACGATGAGTTAAAGGAGAGAAATAGCAAGAAAAGAATTAGAAAGAGGAGGAGATGGGGAGTAACGCATAGTGCACTGAATTATAAACGTGGATGGGGCCCGTGCGCACTGTTGGGCAAGATGCCCTTCAATCCGCGTTTTTTTTTTCACGTGCCTTTTGCCCTTGACACCGAAAGTCAAAATATCCATACAGTGCAAAGGTGAAAAAAAATGCATTCCGTTTGCTGCTCAAGGCCCGTGGGGGGAAAAAAAAGTGTCTTTCTACGACATTTCTGTTTGACTCTCTTTTGTTTTTTTATTCATTTTTTCCCTTGCTTTTAGTTCACATAGCGGTCATATAGTTTGGTCTGATCGTCACGTGAAATCTGCGTCCATCCACCCTGGTGCACGTGATAGACGGTAACAATACCGCCTGAGGCGCCATCTCTGCAAGTTGCGTGGAAAATGGAACGACGTGCAAGGTCGCACGCTTGCTCAACAGTGAGATCCTTGCGGTACCCCTGATCAAGGACACCATACGCATAGATGGAGCCTGAGCCCACACTGAACAGTTCATGCTTCACACGTGTGCCTTTATCATCCACATAGTACAGAGAGGGTCCAAATTGGTCCCAACCAGCCACCATGGTGCCCATGGAGAGCCCACTGTTGCGGTATGAATACGTAATATTGGACAGTATTTTGCTTGCGGCTGCTACTGAGATGCGGCAGTTATTTCGTAGCTCCCACAAACGGCACTCCATACCTAATACACGTTCCCAATATTGGCAATCCGCCGCCCCTCCTGCCATTGTTCCCAGAAGATACTCGTTGATCTCCAGTACCTTCATGACGGTTTGGGAGGAGATGTACTGTCCTGACGAGGCGCGGGAATCCACGGCAATGATGATGCCGCCATCAAAATGAAATCCCAGTGTTGTGGTGCCCTTCTTCATATCCAGCTTCGGAATACTGCGCGGGACTGGGCAAGGCTTCATGAGCCTCCACGTGCGCATGTCGGTCTGAAGACGATTGCCGGTGCTGAGTGGATCCTCCGTCAGCCTTTCTCCCGTTGCGGGGATAACACTGAAGTCGTCCTTGCACTTTGGGCCGGCTCCGAGGAAACTATACGAGGTGAGCGTCGGCGCACCCCACTCATCTCCCTCCTCTGACACATCCAAGCCAGGCACATTCTGCCAAGCGAAGGGCCCAATGCGAGGGCAGTCATCGAGCGAGAAGTCGGTGCGCAAAACACTCTCAAAATCGGCGAGCATCGAAAACAAATTCACCTTCCCGATGTTGTTGATATCTTTGCTTCTTCCTCTTCTCACTCTCTTGCTCTCTCTCTCTCTCTCTGTTTGTGTGTAGAGGTTTTTATATTTGTATGCAGGGTGGCTTAGTTCGCTCGTGAATGGAAAGCTCGATGTGGCCATTGGAGGCCGTGCAGGGGAGAAAAGAGGGGCAAGTTGGCAAAACCGCATCAACCAAGTACAAGAAATAATAATAACATCAAGCGGTGAGGCGTCCCGTCGTCGCCAAATCTCGCCTGAGCGTCCGTCCTTCACCAACACTCGTGTGTGAGTGTACTCTGCCTCACAACGGCAACCGCACGACCGCGGAAAACGAAGGAAAATAAACAACAACAACAACGGCAGCAGCCAATGCCTCATACTACGGCGGTAATGTCCTCCAAGATTTCGCCCTCCTCCGGAGAAGCGCAGTCGGCATCCACGTCGTCACCCCCAAAGTCGCTCGGTAACGGCTGCTCATCCAACGTGGGGCGGACGGACATGCGCTGCTGTTGTGCTTCCGACGCCGCCTTCAACTCTTGCGATTCAAAACTCAAGACATCTTTAAGTTCCTCGTATGTGAAATTATCTAGCTCCTCCAACTCCTTTGGAGTCAGCTCACGGTAGCGGCTTAAACGGCGCAAACGAGAGACCCGCTGTCGACGAAAAAAAGGCCAGTCACGCTCAACAAACTCCTTCCAAACAGCCCCAGAGTGATGCATGTAGTACGGCGGTATCGTTACCTCGCGGATGGAGCCAACAGGAAGGCCGCTCATTGAGAATGGCCCAAAAGAAATGCGGCCACCGCGCTCCACCGTCCGTCCCAGGTGCTGCATTAAGTGTGAAATGGGCATCGTCTCGCCCCTTACCTTTACCTTCACAGAATACCGTGACTTCATGGCCGGATTAACAAAAAACTCCACGTTTTTGTGCCTTTTCCCATTCACCAAGATGCCCTCCGTGTTCAATTTATGCGCCAGCACCGGATCAATGGCGGGACGAACACGAAGCAGGTATGTTTGCTGGATCATCGTTTTTGGGCTTTCCAAAAGGCGCGAGAGTTCACCGTCGTTGGTGAGAAGCAGCAATCCATGCGCCCGCATTGGAAGTGATCCCACGGGGACAAGGTGATCCACACCAAGTATACGGGCGTGCTTAGTGATGAGGGTGCGGCCTGCCACATCGTTTCTAGACACGATCACATAGGCTGGTTTATGGTACATCCAGAGACGCGGCGGCGCGAAGCGGAGGCGTCCACTATGAGCCTCCACATGAATATTGTTTTCTGCACGAACGAGACGAAATGGGTTGCGTTCCACCAAATTATCTACACGCACTTGGCCGCTGGCAATGATAGCGAGTGCCTCCCGCCGGCTACAGAAACCAGCACGAGGCAGACAACGAAGAAGGTACACGGAGCCATTCGGAGTACGCGGTCGGTCCACGCCTGTGTGGAGAGACTTCCTTGCGAAGTCGGCGAGCGGGTCGTGTGAGGTTTCGCCAGGGACAAAGTCGGCCGACCTTCGGAAAATGTTCTCCATGGCCACAGAGTTGCTTGCTGCAGCTGACACCATCGTCAGCTGACCAACGCCGTCCTCACCACCCCGCCCAACATCTTCGTTGGCCAAATCCGCTAATGTTGTCGGGGTGCCTTGTGACGCCGCGGATCTCGTTTTCGCTGCAAGCTCCCTTTGCGTTGTCTTCGCTTCAAGCTGCTTTTGCAACTCTTGGTCAGACAGCAGCCGCAGGCGCCGCGGCAAGTAGGTGTCGTTTCTTTCCTCGCGCAATTTTTCGGCCTTGAGTTCCATCAGCCGCTCTTTCAGCATGTCGGTGAGCTGCACGGGGGTGTCGCCGTAAGGGCCCTGACCCTCCTCGCCCTCCGGCTCAATGGTGGGGTCGGCGGGAGAGGCGTTACTCTCCCCCGCGAGCGCAAGGCCGTGGCGCCGCGTGTTGCCTGCGGAGAGCTGAAGCACGTCCGGTGAAGCGGAGTCTTTTCGTGATGGGGCGCTCTCACAGGCGCCTCGCTTTCGTAGCTTTCCGCGAATGTCCAGACTGCCCTCGTTGAAGAAGGAGGCGGCAGCATCCGTGTTCTCCCTGGGAGGCGCATAGCCGTCGGCGTTCACGACACGTGTGGCCTCCCTCCACTTCCGCTTCATTCCCTCCTCAGCCACGTGCGAGCTCACCAGGGGGGACTTTAGATGCGACATGGCTGCGGGAAAGTGCCGCTCAACGTCAAGTCGCTCTTCGCGCTCGGCGACGTCTTCACTCCGCGACAGCTCCGCCGCCGCGGGGGACATTTTCCTCCGCCTCGGTGCTGACGCAGACGCTGCTGCGCCTCCGCCGTTGACTGCCTTGCCCCTGCCGGACTCCCATCGCCGCTGCTGCTCATGCTGCCGCGGCAACGTCGCCAGCAGTACACGCCGCGTGGGCACCAGGCGACGCATCGCAATCCCTCTTGTTTACTTGTGGAGCTCTTCGCGCTCAGCACCACCACAGCCACTCCCTCCGCGTGGGCACAAGTGCCTCAAAGTATAGCAAAAATAACAATAACAAGAATGGTGGAGAGTAAAGAAGCCTACATAACAACGCAAAAAAACGAAAAAGAACGCATGCCAATCCAGTTCTGGCAACAAAACCATCACGTACTCCATTCACTCATTCGCAATGTAAGCTGAGCGTCTACTTTACATTTAACCGGACACCTCGGCACAGGTGCAAGTGAACCGTTTGCTGCGGCGACAACGGACACCACACGTTGGCACCACCATGGAAATCGCCTCAACGCATCGGCAGCCCTTCGGTAGCACATGCTAAGAGCGAGACGCATCCGCCTTTTGGAATGACTGCTTTTTGTCTGTCATCTTGGCCCCTCCAGCATTCACCGTTGTCAACTGCTCTCTATGAATAATCCAGCCCAAAGCAACCACCTCGGCATTGTACTCGTCCTGCAGTTTTGCTCGCCGATGACACTCGCGCACAAAGAGGCGCTCAATTTCATACTTGACGTCAAATTCACTTCCAAGAAACTTCTTTGAAGATAGTATCGCTGGGGCCTCTCCTGTACAAGGTGGGGTGGGCGTGGACGATTTCCTTGACACCGGTGCCTCTGAAGCTTCTCGTGCCGCTACAAGAGTGTCTAGCGAGACCCGACCTCGACTCCGGGAGTAGAAATATCCCCTGCTCCTTCGGTAGGGTGCCTGCGACGGCAGCGAGCAGGCGGCAGAGGTGCTGGTGCTGCACGAAGCGGAGCTCAGCCCATCCGCTGTGAGGTCCAGGAAGAGGTAGAAGTCGGCCCACGCCTTCCCCATCGATGACACGCTCACACTGAGGTCCATTGGCGCCAGATTCTTTTCCCGGCCCCTTTTCCGCGGCACAGGGTGGATAAAGGACGCGCTGACAGCATCGCCAGCGGCGCACCACGACGATGCTGTCTGCCCTTTTTTTCGCTCCGCAAGTTCCCTGGAGCGAAACCACAGGCAGAGTTCTTGAAAAAGCGGCAGCGGCTGCAGGCACGCGCGCAAGAGGGATCCCCCGACCCACACAAGTTGGCCATCCACAAGCTCGGAGGCGTGCTCGGTGTTCTGTACACGCGCCGTACACGCGGTGGCGACAACATTGTCCAAGGAATTTCGAGTTGACACAAGAGCCTTTGGGCGCAAACCCATTGAGGTTGGAAAAGCCAACTGCCCCATCTCCTGCAAGAGGCCATTCACGAAGGCCGTGTCAGCTCGTACATAGAAGCGATGCTTGGTGGAGGGCGCATGCGTCGTAGGAGCTATGGGCTCTTCTTCCTTCCCCGCATTGGCCCAGCACACATTTTGAGAAGCATCCGGGCACACAAAGTACCGCGGCGCGGTAACCAGCGAGGACGTGCGGGGGTGTGACGATGGCACAACGATAGAAGTTTTACGCTCTGGAACTGGGGATACTTCCCCCAGAGCCTCATCATTCAACGCTGCGGCAGAAAAATTCCTTTCCGTACAACTTCCAGAGCTCTCCATCACGACACGCTCCCACCACTCCAGTTTCCGCACGGCAGCTCCTGCCTCCAGCAACAAAGGATGGTTGTAACACCGTTGATGGCACTCTACAAGAAATAGCAACCGCTGCCTAATGTAATCACGCCTTTCAATCGCCTCTTGCTGAATAACAAGTCGCTGCCTTTTACGCTCCAGATAAATTTGTTGAATATGACAGAAGAAGGCAGATTTTATCCACGCTCTTTCAATAACTCTCACCGCCTGCTGCCAACTTCTCTGCAACTGTTGGGTCCGCCAAAGAATATCCCTCTTTGCACGTATAAAGGCGTTCACCAAGTTCACTGCAGGCTCGTTCCCTTTCGTATCCGTCGTCTCCAAACCACCACGAAGACGCAGGGCACATGCGTTAAACGCCTCGGACAGGAGACGTTTTGCCCTACGCACACGAAGTTCCCAAAGACGCTGCTGCACATGGAGAGAGTCACTAATCCTTTCGGCCAAGAGGCCCCTGCGCTTTATGACGCCTCGCAAAATCAACACACGGAACCATTTTTGCAGGCGGGCAACGGACACGTCCACCGTGACACGAGAGACGCCCCCCTTTGGCCGTCCAGCGCTTCCCACGCCCTTATTCCCCCCGCCTGCTGCCCCACGGGCAGGTGAGATGGGACGAGCCGCAGTACCGCGGTTGGGTCTACCTTTTTGCTTCCGCTGCGCGCTTCCGCCCCCACGCGCACTCGGAGATCGCTTTCGTGAAGCTGATTTACCGCGTAGTTTCTCGGACTCTTTCTCGCGCTGCGCACTCCCGGTTGCGCGACGAACAGTGACTGCCGCCGCACCCTCGCGCGGAGTGGGGGAGGGGGAGCGCGATGCAGGCCGTCGCTTTGAGCCGCTACTGGCCCGCATCACTTATTTTGCGTTCCGCCTCCACACCCTTGCGTGTCGCGCAGCTGCAAGAGTGTCGTGCTAAGAGAAATATTTACGGACAGGCACAAGGGAGGAAAAAAAAAGAAAGCATCCATGATAAGTGTGTTTGCTTGCGCGCACGCCTAAAAAAAAAGGTGGCAATCATGAAGGTTACGCATATACACGCATGCATAGAGAGAGAAAAAGAAAGAAAAAAACGTAAGGGGGAAAGAAAAGAAAAAAGTGGAATGAAGCCACATGTGAAGGCCGCTAGTACATACGTGTGCGTCTATCAAGGGGCAGTGCAGGGACCTCGCAGCGACGCCTCAGGGTTCCACCCACCTCAGAAGTGAACGCTATTTAAATAGCTTCTCGCCATAACTACCCATGGCATAAATGGGCGCGGCGAAGGGCTCATAGTCCGAGTAGCACCGCTGAAATACGCGTTCTACGGCCCGCTCAGAAAAACCGCGACAGATGGGATTCCTTTCCACGGCAAGCGTGGCACGACGCTTCACACAGAGCATACCGCTACGCAAAGGATCCAGCCGCCCACGTTTGAGTTCCTCGCCGACAAAGCAATCACCGCTAAGCCGCGCTGCCCGGATCTCACTACATGCCTGATGCATGCAGTCGGAAGAATCAATCACGCCCCGCGCGTCATCGAAGGCGTGAATGAGTTCATGACGCAGGCTTCTCTCCACCGTTTCGACTGTTCGCCTGTCAGGCGTATTCGTGCTGCCGTTGCTGGCCTTTCCAACCATGAGCTCTTCAACAAGGAGAATATCACCCTTTTCGCAGTCTTCGCGCGCGCGGCGCCACATGTACCCCGCCATCACGTTGCCGTCTGAAAGCCCAGCGCCATTACCACTAACGTCATCGCCACTGCTGCGGCCGCCGCGATTTAGTGAGACGCACCTGACGCGTTCCCGCTTAAATGGTCTGCCCGTAATTTCATCAATGCTTTTAATCAGGTACTGCACCGTATTTACCGAGGCGAGCACCTCATCCACGGCTGCCTCACACTGCTGATGAAGCACAGACGCCTGCACGCCAGCCGCGTCCACCGCATTCCCCTTATCCGCCTCCCCGCCTCCCCAGAGGGCAACCATACTCTTGGATTGTCTCCCACGTGGTGGGGTGTGCCGGGGCAGCAAAAGCAGGGGTGGGGGTGGGGAGAGAGAGAGACAGACAAATTAGAAGGAAGAAAAGAAGCCAACCGATACATATACATGCAGAGCAAAATAGGCGCAAGGTAGGTACATAAAAACACATCCAAACACGTGTGTATATACACACAGGGAGGAGGGGGAAAAAGACAATAACAATCAAGCAACAATAATGCAGGGGACACAAAGCGCTCACTACAAGTATCATGTATGTGGGGAAGGTCACTGTTTCTGCAGAGTGCTTTGTGTCGATGACGCGCACTCTCATTACGCATGCAGGCATAGATAAAGGGGGAGGTGGAAAGATGAATCCAAAGTAAATGCAGCCACCACTACCAACGCGAATTGAGCGTGTGAAAAAGACACCTCAAAAAAAAACACACACACAGACGGAAAAAGAAAAACACCATGCGCACACTCTTATGCTCGTACACACCTCATAAATGCTGCTGCTTAGGGTCGCCCTGCCCACACAACGCATCGCATACCCAGTTTTTAGTAAAACAAAAAAAACACACACAAACAAACAATAAACAGATTTTTTGTGTGTGAAGGAAGAGAACTGTAAAAAAGAAAAGAAAAAAAAACGCAGAAACTAACGAAAAAAAAAACGGACACACATGTAGCGCCAATGTGCATGCCGTATATCTCTTCCACAACCTCGCAGATCCCCATGTGTATGTGTTTGTGTGTCCAGGAAGAGGGGACGCGAGCTCCGAGAGGATTGCAACGCCACGCAACCTCTGAAGCGCCCCATCCAGTGGCCGGAAGCCACACTGCTGATGCGAAACTTATAATATCAAACAAAAACAGTGCAACTCAACACACGCCTCCCATTCAACAGAACCAAGTGGAACAACAACAAAAAAAAAGACATCCACTGCGGAATGAAAAGAAGGGCAACAAAAAAAAAGGCGGAACCAACACAAATTAGCAAAGTAATTGCATCATCGTCATCCTTTGCACTCGTTTTACAGACGCCTACCAATAAGAAAAAAAAACAAGAAGAAGAAGAAGTTCAAAAAAAACATTCACCTCTGTACTGTTTCTTCCTTCCAACCTCCCCTCCCCTCATAGAGTTGAAATGGGTGAAAAATATA